AGATGCCTGCCTTGTGACAAGGAACCAATCAGAAGTTAGCTGGTGGCGCTATGCTTTACGGCTCTGGGTGTGCTTTACGGACAAGTGCACAGCAATGATGGGCAGAGCAGAGCAACCAACCTGGGAGGGCCTATGGGCCATAACAACCAGTTGGCCAATCAACACAGGACAAGCCCTCCAAGCCTGGAGGCACACCAATCCTGAGCCTGTGCGTACCCCTAGACACTCCCCTTACGCTGCCCTGCAAGATCTCTCTGAAGCCCCTTCGAGCTGTCTTTGCTAGCCATCCGCCATGGCGTGTGGGTGAAAGACCCCAGCTAACATGGGGTTAGCTCGTTAAACAACAATAAAGCCTCATGCAGTTTGCAGCAAGTTTTTGAATCCGCCTGGTGATGGGGTGACCGTGGTTGTGGTTTGAGACCCCGGAGGCCTGAGTTTTCCAGGGGTCTAACAGCCTGACTGACTTTATGTAGGTGTTGTGGATCGGGATTCTACTCCTCCCTCTCACACAGCAAGCACTCTCTCCTCCAAGCCTTCTCTTCAGCCACCATAGTTTTCCTCCTTTGGAAGACTAAATAAACTGTCCATCCTCCCACATGCTGTCGCCCTGGAGATGGATCTCGGGGTTTGATTCTCCCTTTTGGATGTTGTGAGTGTGCAAATACCTTCTCAAGGCCCTGATTCCAGTTAATTGGAAGATACACCTCGACACTGAATTGCTAGATTGGAGGGTAACTCTATTTTCCATTTTCAAGGAATTGCCATGCTTGTTTTCAGGTAGCTACATCATTTTCCCTTCCCAGCAACAGGGCACAGGGCCCCCAGCCCCCCACCTACTTGACAGTACTTCCTATATTCTTATTAATGGTAGTAAGCTTTATGAGTTTGTGGGGGCAGCGTGTTGTTGTTATTATTATAAAAAAAAGCTCAGTTCAGATTGTCTAGACTGTTGTGCCATGGGGCTTATGAACAGTGTCTCGGTGCCCACACAGAGACCTTTTTAACACTTGCACAGGTTTCCAGCAGACAGCTGCTTCTGGCTATTTTCAGTAAGAAAACATGCCTGCCACACCCTTTGCTCACACAGTGGACAGTCACCCAGGGAGGGAGTCCTCAGGGTGTGCAAGGGAACTCCACCTAAGACTTCCCATTTCTAGGTTTTTCCCATTAAAAAGAGCCTGTTGTAGCAACAAAGCTATAGGGCTTCATCCAGCTTGGACTCTTTTCTGTGCCTGGGAGGGTTGCTTTCTTGAGGTCATAGGGCAGAGTAGACATGGGTGTTGGTGATGAAGGGTGCCTCTCTGGGGTGCTAAGCCGAGTGGGAAAATCCCTTATCTCCCCTCATCTCTCCTTTTCTGTGACCTGTTAGAACTTGAATTGGGTCTTGCAGTGTAAGACCCCCTGAGGCTCAGGCCCCCAGGATCTCAGCTCAGTACCACTGCCACCCCAATCACCATGTGGAGGCAAAAGCTTGATGCAAATAGCAAGAGGCTTTATTGCAGTTGTTTAACAAGCTAACCCCATGTTAGCTTGGGCCTTTCATCCATCCACCATGGCGGATGGCTAGTAAAGATGGCAAGAAGCCACTGCATAGAGAGCTTATAGGGCAGTGTAAGGGGAGTGTCTAGGCTTGGAGGGTTTGCCCTGTGTTGATTGGTTAACTGGTTGTTATGGCCCATAGGCCCTCCCAGGGTGGTTGCTATGCTCTGCGCGTCATTGCTGTGCACTTGTCCGTAAAGCACACCCAGAGCCATAAAGCATAGAGTCACCAGCTAACTTCTGATTGGTTCCTTGCCACGAGGCAGGCATCTGACCTCCTAGTGACCAAGACAAGGTCAGGCAAGTACATGTTCAGCTGTTACGGCTGCCGAAATGAAGAGCTGGTCCCTTCAGCAGGACCCTGGGAAGCTGGGATGCTGAGATTGGTTAACCGCCCCCCCCCACAACTTTGAGAAACTTTCTTTCCTACACAGAGTAAACTGGTCCCCCTCCCCATCCCCCCCCAAGAGAAACACCCAGAATCTAAAGATTCTAGAAGGCTAAACTGTTAACTGATTGTGGAGGGTTAGAATCTTGTTGGTCTAGAGCTGAATTATCTTGGGCTACTTTTAGTATTCTTAGCAGCCATTCATTGTCCACACCATTGTCTGACTATATTAATTACTTTACTGTTGATGTGATAAAACACCATGACCAAGATGACTTACAGAAGGAAGGGTTTGTTTTGGTTTGTGGTCCCAGGGGAAACAGAGTTCTCACAGTATGGAGTATGGCAGCAAGCTCAGGTCAGGTGGCTGGAATAGGAAGGTTGAGGGTTCACATTGTCAAATGCAGGCAGGAAGCAGAGAGAATGAACTGGAAGTGATGGAGGCTTTTACATCTCAAAGCCCTCCCCCCTCCCCCATGCAATGTACTTCTAGCATGGCTCCATTGCCTAGACTTCTCCAAAACAGGGCTGCCAGCTGTTGTGTCCAGTGTTCAAATGCCCAGACTATGGGGCCGGTGGGAGGTGGGAGGTGGGGAGTATGTATCATTCAAACCACCACACTGATCTAACTTCCTTTTTGACTATCAGTACCCTGCAAATGTATTCTACTGGCTCCCACCAGTTCAGATGTTAGCATTGTCACTGGATAACACTTGAAGCCTGTAGCAGTTTTCTCTCTTTACTGTATACACTGCGTATGTGGTCCCTGCCAGTTATTAGGTAAATATCTTGATGCATGCCTTTCTTTGTCTGGTGAGTTACAATCTCATGTAAATTTCCTAAGGGTGGCACCCAGGACCGGCATTCCAGGCAACCGGAATCTGTGTTTATGGGCAATGCTCACCTGTATTTGCTTTAAAATAAACCTTCTCTTACTCCCTTTGAAATGAGAGCTGTGTGTGTTCCACAATGTGGAAAGTAGCAAGGTGGGTCTTAGCTGGCCTGGGCTGGGACTTTCCTGCCAAAGAACTTGGTCTGTTGTTGCAGTGATAAGCACAGGCCCTGTGGGAGCAGGGTGGGATTAGGGGAGGCCATGGTAGACGTCACACGGAACTAGCATAGAGTTGATTCAGAATCCAGTGAGCCTGCTTCTAGTCCGGCAGCTTGATGCCAAACCTGGGACCATGGGCATCAGCTCTGTGATGCTGGGACCTCCTTTTCGGTTTCTTCCTGTGAAAGGCCTCCTACCAACAGGGTTATTGTGAGAGCCACAGGGCTATGAGACATAACAAAAATTGTGCAAAACAGCCTTAAAAATGCTCCCAAAAGGATGGAGAGTTGGAAGTTTTCCTCTTTTGCTGGACACAGCTAAGTTAAAATCTCAAGTTTAATGTGGAGGGCAACACTCAACATAAGAATGTGAGGGTTGCAACATTGTGCTTTTTAAATTGTAGTTCTTTTTGGGAACTCCACCCCTCTTCTTTTTGTTTTATTTTGTTTTCTGAGTCAGGATCTGACTTAGCACAGGCTGGTTACATGGAAACCCAATCCTCCTGCCTCCACCTCCCATGTGTTGGGATTATAGTGATGTGTTACCACTGGCTTCTATTTTTATTACAGGTGTATCAATTCTCTCTTACAAACCTATGCCAGGGACTGTGTCTTTTTTATGAGCCTTAGTGCTAAGTCTGGTAGGGTAGAAGTCCCAGATGTGTGCTGAGGATGGCAAGTGGTTGGCTGGTTGTGTAAATGACTTAACATATGTGTCCCCTGGAGTTGTCAGAGAATGTTTGGGCAGGCAGGGTCTAGATGGGAGCTGGTAAGAGCCATTGTCTGTCTGTTGCCTAGCATTCATAGTGTCAATGCTAGGGAGACTGATGATGGAGGAAAAGTCAACAGCTATCCCTCTGGACTACAGACCCTATGTGCTACAACACTGAACTGCCATGTGAGGTATGCCCATGGTGCAGTAGTAGCATGTTTGTGAGGAAGCCAGCTGCTTCCTGATTGGGTCTGAAGTCTGCTCCATGGAGACAATGTTTACCTAACACTGTAGAACTGGTCAAGAGCTTACGGCTAGGGAGGTCACAGGCCCTTTGTTTTGCCAAATGGACACATGATTAAACTGCCTTCTAAATAGTCATGTTCATGACATTACTTTTCGTATGTGGGTGTGTATGCCACTGTGAATGTTTTCTAAATAGTCGTTTTTATGACATTACTTTGTGTGTGTAGGTGTGTATGCCACTGTGAATATATGGTGGTCAGAGGATAATCTGTGGGAATTGGTTCCCATTCATCCGTGTAGGTCCTAGGGAATGAACTCAGGTTTTCAGGCTTGTTGCCAAGTGCCCTTACCAGTGGCGCCGTCTGGCCAGCCCCTGAACAGTTAATGTTCACCCACACAGGCAGGTGCAGCTCTCAGACTAGGTTAGGGACACCTTTCAGTGAGCACTGTTCAAGATGGGGGGACTCATAACTCAAAGTGTTGAGAATAAGTGGGTGCTGAGTGCTTAGCCCTAACTGGGACATCGATGTCACCTCCTCTGAGGCCCAGGGAACATCAAGGAAGAGAGCATGGAAGGACTGAGAGAATGGAAGAATGAGGAGGAGACCAAAACAGTTACCTGCATTGTCATATTTCCCATATTTCCCTTGTGAGATACTCCCTCCTGTTAGCCACACAAGTGAGGTGCTCTCTCTTTACTCTAGGGTCCCAGGCTTTCTTATGTTTGACATTGAGACAACAATGCCAAACAAGTGTTCTAGGTCATCACATCCATAGTCATGCTGGGACTGAGCCCAGTGGTACCCTCCATTAGGATTTCTGGGCCTCTCTGTGCTGGACCCTGTGGTGGGAAGGATGTTGAGCTTCTTGATGGAGTGGGAGAAATGGACCATCCCAGGGGTGCTGTGGAGAACATTCCAGAAACAAATGATGAGGTCTAAGTGTGAAAGAATGTGTACACTACATCGTTGACATTGACATGGCTGAGCGTTGAGCTGGAGGCTCTGAGTGGCCATCCCGTGTTAACTGCCCTTGTGAACTTGTATGATGTGTCTTGTCTCTCAGGTTCAGACAATGAATTACGTGGGGCAGTTGGCGGGTCAGGTGTTTGTGACTGTGAAGGAGCTCTACAAGGGACTGAACCCCGCCACGCTGTCAGGATGTATTGACATCATTGTCGTCCGCCAGCCCAATGGCAGCCTGCAGTGCTCTCCTTTCCACGTGCGCTTTGGGAAGATGGGCGTCCTGCGCTCTCGGGAGAAAGTGGTGAGGCCTGGGTACCCCTCTCCACAGAGAACAGCAGCACAAGGGCACTGTCTCCTGTCCTGAGCTCTTGGACTTACCATGCCTCCTTGTATAATTTAATGCTCGCCTATATCCCATGGTTCTGGTTACTAAGGCAGTGTCAGTTACTCCAAGATGTTGGGCACACCCCTGCTTATCAAGTCGGAGTCTCAGAAGGCACGACAGACAGGGCAGGGCAGGGCATGGCAGGGGGCCTGGAGCTGCAAAGAGAGGAGTGCCCACTCCCTTCTGTGCCTGGGGGCTGGTTCTGTGCTTTCGGTTGAGGCTACCAGCCAGAGCCCTGCCATGTGGTCTGACCCCATTGCCCCCTTACTGCATGGCAGCTGCTCGGGGGACATTAGGTGAACATAGTGTTTTTATGAGCTGGTTTCAGAAGTCCTATGTAGTTACTTCCAATGGTATTCTACTGGTTGGGTTTCAGTCACAAGCCTCTCTCATTCTCCAGGGGGCAGTAATGCATGTTGGTGGGGAGTGGAAGGTTCTGGAACAGCAATGGAGATATTAAAAAGGACCAGTATAGCCATGTTTGGAAAGCCAAGTTCCCTCCCTCCATTCCCAGTGCTCAGAGCAGGGGTGCTTGGATAGGGACACCTACTGGACACTCACTGTGTTGTTCTTTGTGTTCTCCCTTCAGGTGGACATAGAAATCAATGGTGAGTCTGTGGACCTGCACATGAAGTTGGGAGACAATGGAGAAGCATTTTTCGTTGAAGAGACTGACAATGATCAGGTGAGGGTGGCTGGGTGTCCAGGGTCACTTCAGGGTCTGGAGACACAGCAGACAGGCACAGGCAGGTGGGATTCTGGGTCCTTTGTTGGGTACATGTTGGCATCAGAGCAGAGTACTTGCTCTCCTTCAGAAGGACTGAGCCAGGCAAGCAGTGTGTGTGCTGAGACTTCAGAGACCCAGTCCCGGCCCACTTCAACTAACTTGCCATTTCCAGGAGACAGAGGGGCTGGTATTATACACTGGCCAAACTGTGCTGGTGTGACAAATCTGAAATGACTGAGTATCCTCATTTTAATTTAGTAAGTGACCACGGCCTTTTCATTTTCTATTATTGTTACTGTGTATATGTGGTGTTTCTATTGCTGTGAACAGACACCATGACCATGGCAGCTCTTAACAAGGAAAACATTTAATTGGGGTGGCTTACAGTTCAGAGGTTCAGTCCATTATTGTGGTGGCGGGAAGCATGGAGTGGAACATGGCGACCATGATGCTGGCTACATCAGAAGGCAACAGGAAGTTGACTGAAACACTGGGCGGTATCCTGAGCATTGTAAACCTCAAAGCCTGCCTCCACAGTGACACACTTCCTCCAACAAGGCCATGCCCACTCCAGCAAAGCCACACCTCTTAATAGTGCCACTCCCTGTGAGATTATGGGGGCGTCAATTATATTCAAACTACCACATATGTCTGTGTATGGTGTATATGCATGTGTGTGCACTAGTGATGGTGCTGATGCACATACATGTGGAGGCCAGAAGGGGGCATCGGGTGTTTTTCTTTGTCACTCTCCATCCTATTTTTGAGACAGGCTCTCTCCTGGAGTTTGAAGCTTGTTGCTTTGTTGAATCTGGAGGGGCACTGATCTGTTGTGGTCCCCCAATGCTGGGGTTACAGGCGCTGTGTGGTCATGTCCAGCTGTTACAAGGATGCTGAGGATCTGAACTCAAGTTCTCTTACTTTACAGCTCTTACATTTACAGCAAGCAAGCAGTCTTACCCATGATTTCGTGACAGTTGTATTGAGACACCCACACATTTTGGCTACCACAGGTGCAGTCCAGTGGTTTTCAGTCTGTTCACAGATACACGCAGCCATCACTCTGGTCAGTTTCAGAATTGCTTTAGCCACCTGAAAAAGCAATATCTCATCTTAAATGTACCACCTCTTTATAGTCAGCCAATCTTCCAGCTCCGGAGCCCAAAGCAACTGCTAAGTTACCTGCGTATAAATGTCCCCATGTCTCAGTTAGGGTTTCTGTTGCTATGATGAAACACCATGACCAGAGAGCAAGTTGGGGAGGAAAGGGTTCATTCAGCTTACAATTCAGCATTGCTGTTCATCATCAAAGGAAGTCAGGACAGGGACTCAAGCAGGGCAGGAACCTGGAGACAGCAGCTGATGCTGAGGCCATGGAGGGGTGCTGCTTACTGGCTTGCTCCCCCTGCTTTCTTACAGAACCCAGGAGCCCAGGGATGGCACCATCAGCCGTGGCCTGGGCCCTCCCCCATTGATCACTAAATGAGAAAATGCCTTACAGCTGGATCTCAAGGAGGCATTTCCTCAACTGAAGCTCCTTCCTCTCTGATGACTCTAGCTTGTGTCAAGGTGACACACAAAACCAGGGAGCACACCTTTTTTTGAGCTTTCATATGGACAAAATCAAATAGGGAATGCTGTGTTTGTGTCTGACAATCTTTCACTTTGTGCAGTGCTTCAGGTGGTGCTGCCATGTCCGAGTTTCAATTTTGTTACTAGTTTATATTTGTGTGCACCTGTGCCACAGCATGTGCCAACGTTGGAGGGCACCTTTTTGGGAGGTGGTTCTCTCCATCCACTGTGTGGATCCCAAAGATGAAACTCTGGGAATGTCAGGCTTTGAAATAGGTACCTTACCAACTGAGCCAGCCATATATTGGGCCCGAACGCTAGTGTTTTCAGTGGCTCAGTAGTTTGATGTACTGCATTTCATTCACGAGGTCATCTCTTGAGGGACCTTGTGGCTAGTGTGAGTAATGGCGTTGTGCATCTTCCTAGTCAAGTTTCTGTGAGAACATAGGTTTTGGTCCCACTCCCGCCCCTCCCCTGTGGATGCCTAGGAGTGAAATTACTGATCCGTGTGGTAACTTCATGTTTAATAGTTTGAGGGTCTGGGCCTGAGGAGATGACTTGGTGGTTTAAGAATGCTTGCCCTGCAAGTGTGAAGACCTGAGTTGAGAAACACTCAGCACTTGCCTGTACCTCCAGCTTTGGGAGGGCAGAGACAGGCAGATCCGGAGACTGTGCTCGCTGGCTGGTCAGCCAGTCTAGCTAAAAGAGCAGCTTCAGGCTCAGTGAGAGAGACTGTGTCTTACTGCCTTAGGTGGAGAGTGACAGAGTGAAATACCCGACAGCCTGTTTGGGTCCCCCGTGAATCAATCTTGTGCAGGGATACCTAAAGCTAAACTTAAGCTGGTTCCTTAAGCACTGAAACCAGCATCTGCAATTAGACTGCCCCAGGCTAGTGCCTCCCTGTTATCTACCGGAGGGGACAGCTTCTGGGCTACAAGCCAAGGGCAGCTCCTGCCCCACTGTCTGCTGCCGCCCACAGCCTCCAGGCAACTCCTGTCTAAATGGGAAGCTCCGAGTTTACTAGTTGAGATTATCATAACCTCCTAGTGCTCCTGGCTGAGGCCCATTTTGGGCTCCGGGAGCTGAGGAGTTCTTTGGGGCCCAGATGCCACAGAGGCAGTGTAGTAGCCAGCCAGCTCAGCATTTGTGGCTGCCTGGGACCCTGCTGGAAGCTGCGACCTGCATATTGATCACCAATTGCCCCCTCTACTTGTGCCAGCTCTACTCTTCTCCCTTGCTCTCTGAGGGGTCCTGTCTCCTAGCTCACTGGCTATGCAACTCAAAGCTGGATGTGCTCTGGAGGGACAGGCCTGGAGTCAGAGCTGCCATCTGTCTTTTTTTTTTTTTTTTTTTTAATGAGACAGGGCCTCATGCAGGAAAGTGAAAACATACACATATACCACTCACACCCACTCACCTGTTGAAACCCACTCACACTTATTCTGACACTCAAAATAAAATGTAAAACTGTGCCCAGGTCCAGTGGCTTTACCCTCACTTTTCTCTGCCCTGGGTGTTTTAGATGAGTTGTGATGGTTTGAAGTCACTGGTAATGGCCTGACTCTGAGACGATGATAGAAATCCTCTGTTGAGTACAAAGCAGTGTTTGAGGAGTTGATGACTCTGGTGGTCTGTCTGATGTCTACCTGCGTCTGTGAAATGTTGGCTTGTCCTGCTGTGGCTGTGTCCCTTTGTCACGCCCCCCCCTCCACCTGCATTAACGGGGGACTCTTGAACACCTGTCCCATTTAGGAAGTCATCCCCACATACCTGGCAACGTCCCCCATCCTGTCGGAAGGAGCGTCTCGAATGGAGAGCCAGTTGAAAAGGAGCTCGTTGGACAGGATCAGGTGCTTGGATCCCTCCACCGCTGCCCAGGTCCTGCCTCCCAGCGACACCCCATCCACTGGATCTCTGGGGAAGAAGAGAAGGAAACGGAGGAGGAAGTCTCAGCTGGACAATCTCAAAAGAGATGAGAGCGTCAACACGTCTGAGGATGAGGACATGTTTCCCATAGAGATGAGCTCTGATGAGGACACTGCACCGATGGACGGGAGCAGGTAAACAGTGAGGGAAGACGGGCTCCCTGCTGGAGGAGGATGAGCCATTCAATCTGTAGCTGAGGATCACTCGGACTTCTGATGACCGTGCTATCAGGCTTTGTTAAATGGGGCTGGATTTGAACCTGGGTTTTATGCCTGCGAGGCAAGGACCAACTGGACTGTATCTCTAGTCTTAAGTAAGTTAGTTTTAAAAGTGATTTTCATAATTTTTTTTTCCAAGGTAGAGTTTCTCTGTATAGTCCTGGCTGTCTTGGCACTCACTCTGGAGACCAGGCTGGCCTCAAACTCACAAGAGATCCACCTGCCTCTGCCTCTCGGAGTACTGGGATTAAAGGTGTGCACTACCATTGCCCAGCCATAAATTTTTTAAAAAAATGCTTCATTTTTCTCTTAGGCATCTTAGACTGAATTTTTGCAGTCAAGTGGTGGACCCAGCCTAGAGAAGAATAGAGCCTTGCTCTAGGTTTTTTTTAACTAAGACACAGTCTGTCATGCCATTGCTCTTGTGGCTGATAACTTGAGCTATCAGAAATAGAATCAAGAAACGAGAAGCAAATGAGTAGTTGATGAACAAAACTGTCTTCTTGGAACTTGTGATTTATTTACTGGTTCAGGGGATCAAGCCTGTGGCATAGTGCATGTTAAGCCCTCTCCGTGTCATGGAGTTCCACTCTTCACTCCCTCATTGGCTGCTCAGGATCTGGCTATTGTTGCCTGAGCCCCAACTCGGCCTATGGCCTAAAGGCAGATCTAAAGGTCAGAAGGGTGTGTGGTCAACTCAGTGTTAAAGGTGACTGGAGCCTACACTCACTTTATGTCAAGCAAACCTTTCCATTTTAATTTGAATTATGCCCAGATTTAATGGGTTCATCTCTTTTTATTTTTCTTGGCTTCTAAGACTGTCACAAAACTCTGTTTGTAAGTATGTATTTTGGTGCCAAAAGCCAGTTTTGAAAACTAAATTTGAAGGAATATTTGTTGTTTTAGATTTTTATATAGTTCCATGTAGCTTTTGATAGTTTTTGTCTCTTTAACACAAAGAAGGGTTAAAGAACACCAGGGATGGATTGTTACTCTGCTTCATTGTTCAGAGTAAACTATTTTTTTTTTTTTTTGTTTTTTGAGACAGGATTATACATGGCTGAAGATGACCTTGAACTTCTGATCCTTCTGTGCCTCTACCTCCCAAATGTTGAGATCACAGACATAAGCTACCACACTCAAATTTTGTGGTGCTGGGATTGAACTGAGGGCTTTGTGCATGCTAGGCAAACAACCGTATCCCCAGTCTCAAATGTATTTTTTTTTTTCCTGGTTTATACTAGAACTTGGCTGGCAACATTGCCTTCCCTAGCTGTAGCCTCTAACCTACTGTTGGGTACTGGGGCTGTTTGGCTTGAGCTGGCTATAATGGCCTTTCCTCTGTGGCTTTCAATTCCAGAGCCTGGCCACAGGCACTTGCAGCAGCACTAGAAGTACAGAACAGTGGCTTCTGAAGGTGTGGGGTTTTAAGCCCTGTGTTATAATGTCTGCACTCCTATCTGAGGCTAGGGAGTTCTACAGTTGTGTTCAACTCAAAGACACACATGATCCATGCCGTTTATTTATCTGGCTAGACATGCAGCATGTTCTGTGTGTGTTTATTAATTTGAGTGGCAATTCCCTCGTACATGACAATGCTCTGGAACATCTGGATCCAATTCTGGTTGACCTGCTTCTCAGGCTCTGGTTAGGAGGGGTCATGTGAAAGGTGACAACAAGATGCTGTAGATGTGATAGTAGCCAGCTGTGGTAGCACATACCAGGAAGCCCAGAACTGGGGAGACTGAGGCAGGAGAATCACCAGGCTGGGTGACTTAAGTGAGACCCTATCTCTAAATATGCAAAATAGGCAGTCGGTCAGTTAGCTCAGTGGTAGAGTGCTTGCCTACCATGTGTGAGTCCTTGGATGCTAGAGTGGTACATGTACACACTTGATGATACTACAGTAGCACACACACGTGTTTTGAGGGTGCTGCAGTGGCACACACACATTTTTGAGGGTGCTACAAAAGTACACACACATGCTTGAGGATCAGTGGTCCTTCCTTGGTGTGCTCATCGTGTTCATGCTCTGGCGAAGAAGCCATTATAAGTTTACAATCTACCTGAGGCCGATGTACCCACACACATTTACATATGCTGACATCTCACCTTTTCCATTTCCATCTTCAATTTCTAGGATGTACCTGAGTGTGACAGAGGTCATGTTAATTAAAGAAGCCCTTAGATGTAATCAAGAAGAAACTTGGCTTTACTTTGAGTCTGCTCTGGGTAATGTTTTGACTTTTGTTTTTTTTTAATCTCTCCAGAACCCTTCCTAATGATGTACCACCATTCCAAGATGACATTTCTAAGGAAAACCTCCCCTCGATTCCATCGTATTCCCAGTCAGCATCATACCCCAATTCAGACAGAGAATGGTCCCCCAGTCCCAGGTAAGTTGCTTTTGTGTGTCGGAGGTTGTCTTTTCTGGTCCAGACCATTTAGAAGTCGCATGACTAAGAAAATAGTGAAATAGAAATTAAAACTCTAAACCATTATGATCAGAAACTCTTCATTGTGTGTGGGAATTAAATATGGAAGGTGAGCAAATCTCAAACTGGCACTGAATCTATACTCTCCATCTACAGACATGTTGCAAGGTTCTGTGGGGAAGGCATAACAGAAAAAAAAAAAAAAAAA